TAACATATATATATATATATATATATATATATATATATATATATATATATATATATATATATATATATATATATATATATATACATATTCGAGATATGCTACGTTTAATGCTACGTAAAATCATTAACATGATGACACTGATATTTTAAAGGAAAGTGATTCTTGCGAAAGTAATCTCTCTGCTGGATTTAGAAATGGTTTACGCCTAATAGAGAATTGATAGGTTTTAATCAGACTTTATTTTGGATTTCAACTATTTATATATGCAAACTCGTCGTATATTGAATGCAATATTTAGTTTGCTTAAGTCACCATTAAATTCTTGAATTAATGGCTTCCTTAAATTTAATAGCATCGTGTTTTAGGGGGACTTTAGTCTTTAGAGATTAAACTTTTGTTTAAGTTAAAGCCACTTTTTTTTCACCGCCTTAATTTGCTTCATCGAGACTTATCCAATGAAAAGTCAATTCTTTGTTTCTGAAATGTGGCTTATGCAGTGTTTTCGATATTTCACTTTGGCTATGACTTTGGCTACGGTCATTTTACATCTCATCGTCGCAGTTTCGATTGTCCTAAGCTCCATTGTTCAAGCTCTTCGGTTCTCAGTATAGAAACTCTTGATTTTAAATCAATGAAAAATGCGTTCTATCTATTTCTTTTTGATTGAAAAATTCACATCATCCATCATCAATATGTACCCTTTAATACGTGTCTGCGATTTCGATTCTCTTGGCTGTTACGCGCGCGATTATCAAATATAGATAGAAAGATAAACTTATCGAGACGTATATAAATGATAAATCGCGTCGAGAGTATGGAAGATTAAAGACATTACGAAAGGGTACTATTTCAATCATCTAAGATAATCTAAAAGTTCATCATTTGGAAATACTTGAAAGTTTTAATTTTATTAGTAGTTATATTACATCAGTTATACTACCATAGTAATCACACAGTATACTACATTGTGGAATCTTATATAATTCCAGCTTCTCTCTGTCATATCGTTACATCATCAAGCTATGTTCAACTTGACGATTCAATTATAATAATAATAACCGTACTGCGAAACATGTTCCCTGCTAATGTGTGTACAGAGATCATATATCGAGCAAATAATTTAAGTTACATAATTTCATTTGATAAGAAAGAGAGTTGAGCATGGTAAAAATCTTCTCAGATTTTCTCAGATTTGCCCTAGAGTTAGCAGCTACATTTAAGCGCGCTCCACCACTTGTACAATAAATGAAACACTAACGAACTTTAAATAATAAACTCTACAGCAAAATTAATGAATATCGACTAATTAATGTATGCAACTAATCTGTTCCTCTGTTTAACACTACGTCTACTACTTCTACAACTATTTCGGCCCCACGCAAGGCTCCATTCTGAACTCAGGTAAAATGGAGTCTTGATTTGATTTGATTATTTAATTGATGCCACACAGGCAATGACAATTAGTACATATGTCTCGTGAGTGGTTAAGTCTGTCTGTCTTTTTGTTTCAAAGTTTGCCTTAGTATATCAGAGATATTCGCGATAGTAATGTTCAGAACACGGGAATGCGTTTTGACAGTCGATACATGTTCTCTCGTAAGCGCCATTTGTTCGAAGTTCAGTTGGTTCGAAACCATTTTTGACGTCACCATGCCAGAAAGATTCTAGAAGTCGCTAATCTTTCTTCGTTTATCGAAGAATTTACATTAATCGAATGCGATTTTGTTGCGTGAACGTTATGTTTCAGTACTTATTTAGTTTTGCATGTGAATGCATTTCTTGGGTGCCTAGCATATTAGCAAGTTTGTTCACTGAATCGTTTACTTTTTTACTTACTTTGTGTAATTATTGCAACATGCCTATTTTATATATATTTATATTGTTCACGATAACATATAAAAATATATGTCCAATGATCGTCATATATGCGTGCGTGCATGCGTGTGTATGAATGTGCGTGCAACACGTACGCACGCGCGCGTACATACATACATACATACATACATACATACATACATACATACATACATACATACGTACATACGTACATACGTACATACGTACATACATACATACATACATACATACATACATACATACATACATCATACATAGGCGCAACACATACACACGCACGTACGCGCAAATACACGCATCGACACACATACACACTTTATCGTCGCACCTTTATATCAGAATCATCGCATAGAAATCATTTTCATTTCCATATATCTATTTTCATAATTCATTAATAAGAGATATGATTTTTAAAAACTTATTTCTTAAAAATGTTTGGATGAGAATCAAGATGATTTCTATAATCCTTGATGATTTGTTAAATGTGAACCAACAACATGCTCGCGCGCGCGCGCGCGCGTGCTTGCATTTAACAAATTAACAAAAACATATAAAGTAATAAAAAACAAGATTGAACTATTGCATTATGTACATAGAAATTATTGCAATGTTTCAATCTTTATTATACATTTGTGAGTGTGTCATTCAGCGATACTCTAGATGGAATGTAGAAAATTTATTTCATAAAACATATATGTGTGTAAATATTGTCTAGTTGATACATGTTACAGGGGATTATTCTAAATATTTAAATT